GGGAGTCACCAAGTGTCAGAATCGACTCAACAGCATTTAACAACAGGCAGACTCACCCACCAGTTGCTCCCCAGAAACCCTATACCGGGTCGCTGAGTTGGAACCGAAACAACAGACTCACTCAGGTAGCCCTGGCAGTGTAACGGGTAACACACTGGACCGTTAACTGCAAGGCTGGCAGTTTGAGTCCACCAACAGTTCCTCAGGAGAAAGATGAGGCTTTCTGTTCCTGTAGAGATTTATAGTCTTGGAAGCCCTGAATAGGGTCACTATGAGTCGAAACTGACTCCAGGGCACACAAGAAGTCTCATCCAGGACATTAATTCAGAAAGCTTTCTTTCTTACCAGTAAATGCATAATCTTTACAACTAAAGCTTTCTGTACACAGGCCATCTTGCCCATTCTTTATAACATGAGTTGTTAATACAGTAACTCAATATTTATACGATGATGAAGTTATATTCTAGATCCTTTTCCTTTTTAATTTCTTATAACTCCATTTTATTCATTGCAATTCTTTTCAATTCTCCTAATAAGAGCAAGTCAACTATTACTACTCTGATTACAACTGGTCTTTCAAACTCTTGATAATGAGTGAATTGCATACTGCAGTTGGAGATATTTTGCATATTTCAAAGACGGAATAGAAGTATGGCTGTTGGTAGAAAGTAGAATGGAAGAATTAATACATAAAAACCAAGACCCTATTTTGTTATCCCATTTTAGTACTTTTTAGGTCCCATATAGTTTCCTGTTGAGAAAGAACTTTAGAGTTTGCATAGTATTTGCAAATGACATGTAACTATAAAGCACTGAGACTGTTTTTAAACACAATTGCAGGCATTCATACAATTTCTCCAAGATATTTTGGGAGGCAATAAACTTATTCCTATGATGTCACTGCTCAAACATTTAAATAGTATTTATCAGTTTATAAAAAGTTCTGGCTCATATAATCATGGATACCAATGCAACCCAGGTGAGCATCTTTATTATTTATTTTCAGAGTGGTCACCAGGCATAAACCATGACTGTGGCTTTAAGGCTTGGCATTTGGCTAGTTGGAAGGAGTCAGTGAGTGTGTTAAACTACTTGTGAAAGCTTTGTATTTGAGGCCCCTGAAAGACCTTTTGCTATTTGTGATACATTCTTTCCTTGTGTACACTGACTGCTTTTTGAGGCCTGACCCAAATTTAAGCTCCAGCCCTGATTTGTCAACAGCCCTTCTCTTGCCCAATCACCTTTTGGAGTTTGCCAGGTGAACATCGTGGAATGGGGTAAAGTCAGCTCTCTGGTGTCTCTTGTGCCACTGAGTGGCAATTCCAAAGAAAAAACCAGCATTCCACCCATTTTTTGGCATGGTAGTCATTGCCAAGAAGAGGTGGGGTGGGGAGTGGGGCAGGCGGTAGGGCAGGTTATGGGAAAAGTCAGCTGTTGTCTTTTCTTTACCTTATTGTGATCTGGCCTGCAGAGTTTCCCAGAACTCCTCTGAGACTCTCTGACTGAGCCTGGAAAGAATTGAAAGTGAAAGCACGTGCAAAATTAACTCATTGAGCAGAAGAGTCACTTCCTGCTTAACTCTGTGTGTGTGTGTGTCTGTGTTTGTTCTTCTAGTGGACCGTTTCTTTTCTTCCTCAGAACATCCTTGGGTATAAGAAAGAATGGAAATACCATGATAAAAACAGTTTTATTACTGTAGAAATAAACAACAACAAACCACCTTGGCAAAAGTTAATTCTATCAAAGAAGATACTGTCTTGGTTTCTTTATTCCATTTTAAGACTATTTACAGAAGAATGGGAGTCCTAGTATGGCGCTGTGGGTTAATGTGCCAGACTGCAAAGCCGTTTGAACTGCAAGGTCGGTGGTTCAAGCTCACTGGCTACTCCTTGGAAACCCTATACAGAGTCACTATGGGTCTGAACTGACTCGACAGTATTTAACAACAACAACAGAAGAATAAGCATTTATTTTTCCTCAGAACTTAGTAACTGTTAATTAACTTGGATTACAAACAGCTCTCTCAGTCTAAGCAGGTTATGAAAGAACATTAATGATCATAGCACTTAGCGTGTGTCAGTGTGTTTACATAATCATTTATGTCCCACAATTCTATGAGGTAGGCACTACAGTCACCATTTTATAGATGAGGATCAGAATGCTTCTTAGAAGTAAGGATGGCAAGACTTTGTCTTGCTTACTTTGGAAATGTCACCCGAAAAGACCAATTGCTAGAAGCAGACATAAAGTAGAGGGTCTGTGCAAACAGTTATCTGCAGCAATGAGCACAAACATATCACCAATAGTGAGAAAGGCACAGGACCAGGCAATGTTTTGTTCTGCTATATAGAAAGCAGACTCCACAACTAGCAATAACACAGACAAGGGAGCTGAGGCACAGAGATACTAGATTAAGTAGCACGTCTCCATCATACAGCCAATATATGGCAGTCAGGATTTGTACCTCACAGGGGGGTCCAGAATCTGTGTTCTAAATCACTAGGCCACACACTCACATGGTTATGAGAAAGCAGGAAAAAAATTCCTGCCTTCTCATAGGCAACAGTTAGCTAATTCGTACACTAATATAAACCGTGGGAAACTAATGAATATACAAAGTCTACAAACTCATTTACTTTTTAAGAATGATTCTAAAAGCAGAACACGCTTTATGCTAACAAGTCAAATGCATGGACTGTTGTCATAACTAGCTAATGGGCTCTACAGCATCTATTTTCTACAATGAAAGACTTGGCAAGATTGCTTTTCAGCTTTGTGAAGTTGTTGGTTTTTTTAAGGGTAATGAATGAAGTCAAAGTTGAAATATATCCATGGAGTTAGTTGAGGAAGATGTATGAGAAGAGCCTGGTTTGACTTGGTTTCTAAATTTCTTATATTTAACTAGGAAATTAAAATTAGATGTAAGTTTTAGATTCTCAGGGTCATAAGCACGCTAGTTAGTGAGTCCCAAAGAGTTCACGCACTCTTCTTTGTACCTCTTTTACAATTTCACCTTGTCACAGCTCTGAGGAATGTTTGTTGTGTTGATTAGTTGCACACTCATTTATTAAATGATAAGTAGAAAGTGTTAAGAGTGACTCATTAAAAGGGCAAAAAGCATGGTAAATGTGGGTACAGGCATTACAAACCAGATTTCAAATTTCTAAGACCTGATTATTTTGGTAAATTTGTACTTCAGCAAAGAAAGCAACATTTCATCATATGAATTCCTTTAGTTTTGAGGTGTTTGTTTGTTTGTTTGTTCTAAAACTCAGATTGCCAGCCAAATGTTGTAACATGAAATAGCTAGCTAAAAACATTTAAAAATAAATGACTAAGATTTAAATAGTTGAGACACTCACATATAAAGAAGGGATAGTTTAAATGTAATATGTATTGTCTTCTTGAAAAACAGATTCTCTTATTGTAAATTACTCCATTTCAATACATGAAAGGAATAGTCCATAGTAAAGCAAAAGTATTATTTCCAAAAACATGACTTAATGAACTCTAGTTCCTATGTCTTTTCAGCTTTACCACCATTACCAGCACAGAGTTGTTCAAAATAAAGTTTTAACCCAAACTGGACTATGAAGATGTAAAAACTTTAGTAACATGACTGAAAACAAGCACACCAATACCAATAACCAAAATAAGTGTCCATCTTTCTTGATATGTTTATCATACTTACAAAAATAAAATGAAACCAAATAGTTATTATACATGCACATTAGTGCATATTAGTATTTTACTTCCACATATATGCATACATAATAAACAAATAAAAAGGTAAATGTTAAATTACTTGTAGCTATGAAACAAATATAAAATGTGACTTATACATATTTCAACTTGAGTGCCTGTTCAATACTCAGTGCTTAAAAATATTTGGAAAAATAATTACAAAATATGTTCTGGTGGAAGATATTAATAGGGAAAGATATCAGGAAATTTTTTGGGTTTCATGTGATTAAAGAAAGGGGAGGAGAGGATGTAAGAAAAATGAAGATATGCTTCCAGGCAGGGAATCACATAAAATAAAACAGGTTAATAATTAGAAGTGAAGGAGGTACAATTTTTTCCAAGGTTAATTTCACTAGAAATTGAACAAAAGAAGCTTTAAAAACCCAAATCAAAAGAGTTGTCATCCGGTCCATTCAGTCTCATGATGACCAGTGTGTCAAAGCAGAACTATGCACCCACGGGGGTTTCCATGGCTCATTTTTCAGAAGTCAACTGCCAGGCCTTGTTTCTGAGGTGCACTCTGGTGCACTCAACCCTTCAACAGTTCAGTCAGTAGCCCAGTGCTTTAACTGTTTCCACCACCCAGGGTACATAAATATACAGCTTGTTAATAGCTTCATAATATTAGGGGATGTAAAACTGACTTGCTCCTGAGTTTTCTTTAGATTTGAACACATGTCTTGTCCCAGCGGTCAATCCGCAAGCTCCTATTGTAGGATAAGCACAGGAACGCAGTCAGTTTAAACCACAAGGTTGGTGGTTCAAACTCATTAGTCACTCCTTGGAAACCCTATACAGGGTCGCTATGAGTTAGAACCGAATCTAAGGCACTTAACCACAACAGGAGAGCCTGGTGTGGCACTGTAGAAAAAGCACCAGACCACAAGGTCGACAGTTCAAACTCACCAGCCACTCCCCATAAACCTTAATCATGGTCGCTATGAGTCGCAACTGACTCTAAGGCACTTAACAACAGGGGGACCTAGTATGACGCTGTCGGATAAGCACTTGACTGCTCACCACAAGTGGAAACCCTATGCAGGGTTACTATGAGTCGGAACTAACTGACGGCAATTAACAACAGGATTTGCCAGTGCTGAAGGGCCGTCGACAGCATCAACATCTTTGCTGGACCAGATGAGTTGTAATTTTGATTCCCATGCGTCATCACTCTTGATAAGACTGAGTTCGGAAGTCTTCCCCAGGACCCCGCCTTTGGCGTTTTCTCCCCACTGGTGCTCCCCGGAGCTGTCCCGGCCAGCCGTTAGTTGAGACAGGGGCAGCAGAAGCAGCAGATGGTCCGGCAGGGGTTCTTCTTCGTGTATGCCTCGGCCTTGCGCACGTGCGCCTTGGCCTCGCCCGTGTAGTCAAGGGTCTTGAGCACATTGTGCTCGATGACGTTCATAGTGTCCGCTTGCTCCTCCACCAGCACCGCCATCTGCAGGAAGAGCTCGTGCACGTCGCGGATGCGGCTCTCCAGGCGCATCAGCTCCCGGTGGCGGTTCTCTATCTCGTTGAGCGCTGCCCGCGCACCCTTCACGTCGGCCAGTAGGTTCTCAGAGAACACGTCCCACTTGCCCTGCTCAAACATGTCCTCGATCTGGTCACCGGAGACGTCCTTGCCCATGATCTCGAGCTGACGCTGAATGCGGATCTTGCAGTTGGCACGCTGCTTCATCTCGGCCTGGTTGTACTCGTACATGGCGTCCTGGAAGGCGCGGGTAAGCGCGCTGTACTGTGCACTGGAGATGCGCGCCAAGGCCGAGTTCTCGCCGTGCTGGGCCTCGGCCTTCTCGCTTAGCACCTTCATGGCGCGCAGCTTGCGGTGGATGTCCTCGCCCCGCGCCTTGATGTCCTTGGCGATCGAGTTGGTGTCCCTCTTGATGCTGCTGAGGCGGCGCATGGACGTGAGGAAGCGGGCGTTCTGCTTCCCCAGCCGCTTCACGTCGGCCATCAGCAGCTGGTTTTGAACCTGAAGGTCCTGGATGTCTTTGTACAAGGACTCCAGGATGTGGTCCGTCTCGAACACGATGTCCTTGTGCTGTGAGTCAAAGTCGTCTTCATCAGGGAACTGCTGGTCATAATGCTTGGAATACTCCAGAAGTTCTGCTAGCCGGTCCTTCATTTTGCCTGCAAGTAGAGATGATGAAGTTATAATCCTCTAGTTAGAGTTAACTAATTGCATGCAGGGGTGCAAACCTTAAAATAAACATCCTGTTCAGCACTCTCAATTTATTATCTCTGGGTGTAGGTAATAAGCACACTGAAGGAACTCAATGCTATATGCCTTTTTTGCTTACATGCAAGGAATAATAAAAATAATATGACCAGAAGGCATGAAGACAGTAGTTTTCAGCCTATAGGCATATATATCCAGAACTCAATCAGCAATTTAAGATTTTAGATTGCATTGAAGAGCAATCTCTTTTGCTTGTGTTAAACTTTCCAATAACCTCAAATCAAAACAGCTGCATAAAAAGTAAAAATGGTAGAAAAGACTTGAAAAATCAAGGATTTTCACTAAGGACAGTCATCTTAAGAAGGATTTGAGGCCAATGTCAAGTACTTTATTTCTATTTCACACCATGAGAACCTTCAGTCATCTTCATAATAACTTTAAAAGCCATTACCATATATATCATAAGCTGTGTCATTACTTCCTTAATTTTTTTTTTCTCTTTAAAATGTTTAGAAATACATAAAACGTGTTTGAAGTACAACAAAACAAAGACAAAAATTCAGTTGGGAAATAAAAATGTGTAAGTCATTTTGTTAACATACTGTTTCTTTTAGTTTAATGTGGTTAAAAGTATATATGTAACAAGTTTTGCCATTCTGACCATTTTTTTACTATAATTCAGTGACATTAATTACATTCAGAATGTAATGCAACCATCATTCATCTATTTCAGAAACTTTTTTATCATCCCAAATTCAATACCCATTAGGCAATAAATCCTCATTCTTCCTTACCCAGGTAACCACTAATAAAGTTATAGATATTACATAAAGCTGGATCATACGATATTTGTCCTTTGTGTCTAACTTATTTCACTTAACATGATGTTTTCAAGATTTATCAATATTGTAACGTGTACCAGAACTTCATTTTACTTTATCACTACATAATATTCCATTGTAAATATTGTATTATGTTTATTCATTCTTCTGTTGATGGTCACTTGGGTTGTTTCCATCTTTTGGCTGCTATGAAAAATGCTACAATGAACACTGATATGCAAGAATCTGCTTGAGTTCCTGCTTTCACTTTGTGCATACACCTAAGGGTGAAACGGCAGGTTCATATGGTAATTCTGCCTCATGTCTGTTGGTTTGTAGTACCATGGTGGCTTGCGTCTTGCTGTGATGCTGGAAGCTATGCCACTAGTATTTCAAATATCAGCACGATCACGCATGGTGAAGAGGTTTCAGTAGCGCTTCCAAACTAAGAACAGACTAGAAAGAATGAATAGGCAGTCCACAACTGAGGAATCAGTCCCTGAGAACTATGAACAGCAGCAGAGCACTGTCTGATACAGTGCCAGAAGATGAGCCTCTCAGGTGGGAAGGCACTCAAAATATGACTGGAGGAGAGCTATCTATTCAAAGTGATTGGTCTTAATGACATGGAAGGAGTAAAACTGTTGACGAGGGAAAAGCTCAAAATGAGAAGAAATGGCTGCAAGCTATCATTAATAATTAGAATGTGGAATATATGTTAAGTATGAGTCTAGGAATATTAGAAGCTGTCAAAAATGAAATGAATACATAAAGATCTATACCCTAGGCAATAATGAGCTGAAATGAACAAATACTAGCCATTTTGAATGGGACAACTGCATAGTTTACCATGCCAGCAATGACAAACTGAAGAGAAATGGCATCCCATTCATCATCAAAAAGAACATTTGAAGATCTATATTGAAATACAGTGCTGTCTGTGATAGGATAGTATCCATAAACCTATAGGAACAGTTGATAAAACTATCATTCAGATTTACCTATCAGTCACCAAAGCCAATGATGAAGAAATTGAAGACTAATACTACCCACATCGTCAGTCTGAAATTGATCAAACATGCAATCAGGATGCGTTGATGATTACTGGTGATTGGAATAAAAAAGTTGGAAACAAATAAGAGGGATCAGTAGTTGGAAAACATGGTAGAATTTTGCAAGGCCAGCAAATTATTCACAGTAAATATAACTTTTCAAAACTGCAAATGACAACAATATATGTGGATCTCGCCACATGGAATATGCAGGAGTCAAACTGTCTACATCTGTGGGAAGAAACGATGGAGAAGCTCAATATCATCAGCCAAAATAAGGCCAGTGATTACTGTGGAACAGCCATTAATCCTCATATGGAAGTTCAGGCTGAAGCAGAAAAAATTTAAAACAAATTTCTAAGAGCTGAGAAGATCAACTATCAACACTCACGGAAACAGCAGTCAAGAAATCAAATGACATATTGCAATAGGCAAATCTGCTGCACAAGACCTTTTGAAAGTGTTGAAGAGCAAAGATGTTAGCTTGAGGACTAAGATGCGCCTGACCCAAGCCATGGTATTTTTAATAACCTCATATACATGGGAAAGCTGGACAGTGAATAAGGAAGACCATAGAAGAATTGGTGCTTTTGAGTTATGGTGTTGGAGGAGAATATTCAAAGTGCCATGGGCTGCCAAAAGAACCAATAGATCCATTTTGGAAGAAGGGCAGCCAGAATGCTCCTTGGAGGCCAAGATGGCCAAACTTCGTCTCTCAAACTTTGGACATATGCCAGGAGGGGCCAGTCGTTGGAGAAGGATATCATGTTTAGTAAGGTGGAGGGTCAGAGAAAAAGAGGAAGATCCCCAATGAAATGGATTGGACAAGTGGCAGCATCGAGGGACTCAAGTGTGGCAACAGTAGTGAGGTTGGCCCAGGATGACGCAGTGTTTCATTCTGCTGTGCAAAGGGTCACTACGAGTTGGGACTGGCTTGATGGCACCTAACAACAACAACATAGCCAAAATACCACCTTCAGTATATCCCACTTGAATTTACAGACCATCTCAAAACAGATATAATACACTGAACACTAATAATGAAAGAAGTGAGGAGTTGTGCTATGACATCAAGAATGTCATGTGTAAAGAAAGCAAATGGTCATTAAAAAGCTAGGGAAGAAGACCAAAACAGATGTCAGAAGGGACATGTAAAGTAGTTAAAGTGTATCAAAGAAATGGTGAAGTAAGAAAGCTGAACAGAAAATTTCAACGGGCAGCTCCAGAAGACAAAATAGGATAATGAAATGTGCAAACCCTGGAATTAGAAAACCAAAGAGAGGAACCCACTCACTATTTCTCAAGCTGAAAGAACTTAAGAAAACATTCAAACCTTGACTTATTGAATGATTTTATAAGCAAAATTTTGAATGACGTAGGAAGCATCCAAATAAGATGGGGGGATACAGAGTCACTGTAACCAAAAGAGTTGGTTGACAATTCAATCACTTCCGGAGGTAGAATATGATCAAGAAGCAATAGTATTGAAGAAATCCAAGCTGCACTGAAGGTATTAGCAAAAAACAAGACTCCAGGAATTGACGGCCTACTAACTGAAATGTTTCAACAAATGGATGCACGGCTGGAATCACTCACTAGTCTATGTCAAGATATTTGGAAGACATTACCTGACCACTGACTGCAAGATATATATATATTTGGTCCTGTCCCAAAGAAAGATGACCTACAGAAAGAATGTGGCAATTTTTGAACAAGATCATTACTATCACATACAAGTAAAATTTGACTGAAGAGAATTCAAAAACGGTTGCAGCAGCACATCAACAGGGAGCTGCCAGAAATTCAAGCTGGATTCAGAAAAGAACGTGGAACAAGGGATAACTCATTGCTGACATCAGATGGGTCTTTCCTGAATGCAGAGGATACTAAGAAGATGCTTGTCTGTGTTTTATTGACTATGCAAAGGCATTCAACTGTGTAGGTCACGACAGACTGTTCAAAGAAAGAAAATTCCAGAATACTTGATAGTGCTCATGTAGAACTTGTACATACAGCAAGAGGCAATTGTTCAAATGGAACAAGGGGGTATTGAATGGTTTAAAATCAAGAAGGATGTGTGTTAGGGTTGTATACTTTCACCATACTTACTCAATATGGAGTCCTGGTATGGCGCTCTAGGATAAGCACTGGATTGATAACTACAAGGTCGGCGGTTCAAACCCACCAACTGCTCATCAGAAACCCTACACAGGATCATTGTGAGCTGGAACTGCCTTGATGACACTTAACAACAACAACATTCAGTATGTACAATGAGCAAATACTCTGAGACTCTGAACTATATAAAGATGAATGAGGTGTCAGGTTTGGAGGAAGCTTGTTAACTTGCAATTTGCAGATAACATAACCTTGCTTGCTGAAAGCAAAGAAGACTTAAAACATCAAAGAACGCAGCCTTTAGTATGAATTACAACTCAATGTTAAGAGAACATAAATCCTCATAACTGGTCTATAACACATAAACTGAGAAAAGTTTGAAGTTGTCAAGAATTTCATTTTACTTAAATCCACAATCAATGCTGAAGGAAGCAGCAGTCAAGAAACCAAAAGGCATACTGCATTGGGCAAATATGCTGCCTAAGACTTCTTCCAAGTTTTCAAGAGCATATATGTCTATCTGAGGATTAAGGTAAGCCTGACCCTAGCCTTTCTTTTTTCAATTGCCTCATATGCATATGAAAACTGGACAATGAATAAAGAGGAACTTAAGAAAAATTGACGCTTTTGAATGCTGTTGGCAAAGAATATTGAAATTATCATTGACTACCAAAAGGAGCTCTGGTAGCATAGTGGTTACGAATCGGGCTGTGAACCTTAAGGTCAGCAGTTCAAAACTACCAGCTGTTCCATGGGAGAAAGATGAGGCTTTCTGCTCCCGTAAAGATTTACAGCCTCGGACACCCTGTACAGGGTCGCTATGAGTTGGTACTGATTCCATGGCACATAACAACAACAAACCAAAAGAACAAACAAATCTTTCTTGGAAGAAGTATAGCCAAATTGGCGCCAAGATGGCGATGGAGATGAGGCTTCCTGTCGCTCGTAAGCCTGTTAATG